GTTTATTTTTATGTACATATACATATGTACATAGTGTATATAAAGTATGCAATGAGTTCCAAATACTTGAACACAGCTCCATGCCTGGATTTTTTGTGCAATAGGAAATGTACTATTGGGTTTGTTTGGTTGGTATTGGTGAAGTCTGGCATAAATTTAGTGGTAATGGAGCAATAATTATATGAATAAATGAAGCCCAAATAAAGTATCAGTTCTCTCAAGCCCCCACCCAGAAGATGTTGAGACAGCTTTTCATTTCAGATCCCCTCCTGCTGCTGCTGGGTTCTGCTGAGTGCTTTCTCTATCTACAAGCTCAGCCCATCTCTGAATACCTAGGACCACTTCTTTCTCTGAGAGTTTCTTCCCAAGAGTTCCCAGACTGCCTCTGTAATGACTCTGCACTCAGAGGTCACACTCAGAGCTCATCTGCCCTGAACTAAATATATTTCCTTTATATGACCCCAGTTCTTATTGTTTCCAATTACTAATAACAATAACTCACACAACCTCCATGAATGTCTGAGATCTTAAGGACTTCCAGTGACAATGGACTTTGCAAAAGCATTTTTCTGTGTCACATTCACTGCTAAATACCTGTGCCTGCCCCTGTTAGCAGCAAAGGAGCAGTGGGCTTAGAGTCAGAAGTTTCAGTATAGACACCAGCTCCTTCAGTTTATTAGCTATGGGACCTCAAGAAAATAACTTCACCTGCTTAATCTACAGTAAATCCTTCTGTAGAATAGGGTTGTGAGAGGATTAAAGAAGACGCACATGCAGAAGGCCCCAAAACAAAACCTTGCCAACACTATGTACTCAGTCAATGCTTACACCTACCAAAATAAAGTCTTCCTCTCTGCTGAAAGAGATTTTGTGAATCTCCATGTCTTTCCGCAAAAAAGCAATAACTCCCATACTCGTTCTTACTCTGGCTATTCTTTCTCAGAAAATATCTTCCCTGTATGGGCCTCCTATGTCCCAGTCAGAAATCATCTCAGCCACACAGTTTGAATTTAAAACTGCCTCTGACTCTCTCTTGCTAAAGTTTTTTCTTTTACTGTTACTTGCTTTTGTGTTGCTTCAAATTGCTAGATAGGAATTCCTCAGTTTTGAGCTGCATTTGGGAAAAATGCTAACAACAGCAAAAGGATCTGTCCTATGACACTGAAATAGACAAAATGTTCTTTCTTCGGAATGTGACAAGAGTCAAACAAGGGTTGCTTCTTGGGTGCACCTGGAATGACGGGCTGGCTCTATGTGGGAACAGTCTGAAAATGTTCTGAAAGGAAGAATGGAAATGAGAGCCAGTTGTGGGCAGGTGAAACAGCGAGGAACCGTGCGGCTGTGTGCTACCTGGGTCATGGATCCCTGGGTCACAGCTGCTAAGGGCATCAGTTCCACTCTCCTGGCAAAACTGCTGATTGTAGCTTCTTCCTTCTTTGAGAACTAAGTTAGGCAAGCAAAGAGAAATGCCGGGGAGTGTGAGACTTGACGTGATGTGAAATCTGTCTCTCTGTGGAGCAGCCCTGTCACTTTGTTAGAGAGAAAATCGCTATCTATATGCAACTGCATTCTATTGGCATGAAGTACAGGACGTTCAGGGGGCCTCTGAAAGGAAGGAACACAGCCTGTGGGTAGAAGTGGGGCTCAAATCCCAACTTTGCCATTCAGTTGCTACCTGGCCTCTCCGAACACCCATTTTTATTTTTATCATCAGCAAAATAGAAATGATAATGGCTTTCTGAAGCATTGTTATAGAGATTAAACAAAATCATTTTCATCTCCATGAAACAGATTTGTCATTTTAGAAAATCTTAGCCACTTCTTCAAACCCTATACTTTTGCCAATACCATAAAATTTGGGATCTCAAAGATGAATGGACCACATTCTGGTGGGTGTTCTCAGACCCAAAACCTGTGTATTAAGCAAGTATGAGGCACAGATGTCTCTCAGACTCAGTGCCTTCACCTGTAAACTGGGGATAACAGTAGTAACTCACAGAGTCATTCAGTGATCAGATCATGACAAAGAATGTTCTGGAGAAAGGTAAAGATCCCCATGTTCTTAGCTGGGCGTGGTGACACATGCCTATAATCCCAGCACTCAGGAGGCTGAGGCAGGAGGATCGCTGTGAGTTCAAGACCAGTCTGGGCTACATAGTGAGTTCCAGGTCAGTCTCAACTACACAGTGAGACCCTGTCTCAAAAAACACAAAACAAAACAAAACAAAAAGATCCCGTGTTCTTATTTTCCCTCTTTCTTTGGTAGCCCCTGGTAGGTCCTAGAAAAGTTCACATGGACCCAAACCTGTAGTTTATACTCATATTTCTTTATGTTCCGCAATACGTTGGAGTTTCTCAGCCTCAACATTCCTCAACAACTCTGAGAGAGCTTAGGCTCAAGAGAAATTGGCAGTCCTGGCTTCTGTGTTGAGGTTAAGTTCTAAGTGTGATTTTCTGGAGTGGATTAGGGGATAGATACTGAAGATCCATTTAAATAACATCTAAAGATACTGCTGAGCAGTCCTGCACCCATCTCACCACGCCAATGGAAATGATTTACTGCAGTGGTGGCTAACTTAAGGCATGCCTGTTACCATGTTTTTCTTTTAAGACAACAGATGTTAATGTATGAGTTGTTTTTTCTGAACCAAAACCTTAGCGTTCAGGTTGAATTGTGGTGTTGGCACTCTGTGATGAGTAAGTGGGTTGTGGGTTGCAGTTTGGGCACTCCATCTCTAAAAGGTTCACCACCGCTTATTTACCTTGACTTGGAGATATAAAGTTAGTAAGTCATAATGTTAGAATTTTATACTTGTGCCTGTTTGTTCATTAAAAATTTAACAATCCTTGACTTTATCCCCAAAATACACTGCTTCTTATTCAAACAGGACAATAGGAGTGGTCCAAGCAACCAGGACAGACTTCCTCTGCTGCACAGTATGATGAGCTCTGTATGCCAGGGAAGGAATGGTGACAGAACCTACATTATAGATGCCGCCTAGGCAGGTGGAAGGGGCTCAGCCTGGCCCAGAGCACTCTGTTTCAGGAAGGAACACACAAACCAGGATGTACCACCAGCCAGAGGTAAGGCTTATTTACCTTCCATCTACCATTTTGTTCTTGCAATGACTGTGCCTTGCTGTTTCCTGGCCAGCCCAGGTTGCTATGACAAAGCAATACACAGATTGGTGAGTTCAACATAACAGAAATTTATTTCTTACAGTTCTTGACTCTGGAATCCAAACAGGGTGCCAGTATGGTTAAGTTCTGGTGAGAGTCCACGTTGCAGAACATCTCCTTATATCCTCATAGGGCAAACAGAGAGCTAGCTAGATTTCTAGCTTTTTCTTATAAAGCTCCATCCCATTCATATGGCTGAGTCTTCATGAACTAATTATCTGCCAAGAGTTCCACCTTCTCATCACACTGGAATATGCATCTGGGGAACCAGCCTTAAGTTCCCAGCAGAGAGTTTCACGAGCTCCCTAGGGAACCACGTAGCCACCATCTGCTCAGATTAACAGACTACCCATTTCCTTCCAAGAAGCAAGACCCAAAATGTGCACCCAGTATCAGAATGAACCTGAGCACTCAGTAAGGAGTCCTTGTCAAGTTACTCCTCTGGCAGACGGTGATCTTGCTGATGAGAGTCTGTCAAGGATAAGCGATTCACAGCTCAAAGTTATTTTCTTATTTCTCTGTGAGTAAAATGTCTTCAGGTTTCATCAGCAATGAGCTCACATTTAGATCTGAACTGTTCAGCTCCATTGCTCCCACTTTGGTAAGTATTACTGCAGCCTTCAAGGTTCTCTGCCCCTGGGCCTTCGGCTCCCTGTGCAACCCCCAGATGAGCTTTCCTGCCACTTCAGGCCCTCTCTGACATTCCCACCCAGGACGGCATTCTGGGTGTGCCTGCAGACCTTCCTCCTGGTGGGGCTCACTGTGTTCTGCTGCTCAGAAGGTGCTGCTGCATACCTTTGGCTGCAGGCTGCCAGCTCGCTTTCTTCTCAGGGAAAGGAAATACTTCTCTTTTCAGAGCGATCCCATGGCAGGACTGCTGAGATTCAGAGTGATTTGCAACCATTTTCTCCCCAGATGCAAGTACCTTCCCAACCCAGTTGCTTAAATATTATAGTCACTGCCCTGAAGCTGGCAGCAGGACACTTACTCCCTTCCCGTGCTTGGGCTGAGCTGCTAAATCTATTTTACTAGACTTTGCTCTTTAAGCATCAGAGAACTTTCCCAGTTGCCCACATGGTTTATCATGAAATTTGGCATCCATGGCCATGCCCTACTACCTTTCCTGTGACTGAAGCCCCACTTGTACATCGATGGAAATATTTCTCAGGATGCCCTGAGCACATACACAAAGGGATTTTTTGGGTAGTCACCCAAGGACGTCACACAGAACTACTATCTCCGTTCCACGTGGAAATAATGGCAAATCAAAGCGATGCCTGTTTTATTGCAGGAAACAATTCAAAAGTATAATTTATGATTTACCTCAACCTTCATGTCTCACATAAATTATTCCTCATAACACACCTGGTAATCCTTCCCATTTCAGCCTCTGAAAGTATTAAAATTCAACAAGACTTTAACAGGTGCCAATTTTGTGTCATTACTTGCATCAGGCTCCTTCCTGTGTATTTCTCCAGAAAGTGTTCAGGATGACTGCATTTAGTAAACGTTATTATTCACATATGCAGTTAAAGGTTCAAATGCTCCAGAGATTAAGAAATTTGCCCAAAGTCATTCAAACCGGAAGACCTTTTATTTCTGTGATTCAAATCCAATAATTTTCAAAGCCACTGTATTGGCTTCCATTTGATCAAGTACCTTACTTCTTTGTAAGTACAAATATTTGGTTTTACATTTTTTTTCTTCTTCAGTTAGAGGATTTTTTGTTATCAAGATATTATAAACTACATAAGGACCTGTGATGCTTCTTTTTGGTCATGTATTGGTTAAAAAGAACTAATAACTACATTGTAGCCCCAAACAATAACCACTTTATTCTATCTCCCAATTCGTGGAGCAGGAATTCAGGAAAGACTCCAATGAACAAGTCTTCTCAATGGGAGGGCACTTGGGCAGGGACTCATGCGAAGCTGGCCGACCCTGGATAGACCAAGATGCTCTTCTCAAGTGACTGTTCCCTCACATGTTGTTCCCAGCAGAGGTGACGGGAAGAGTGAACTCTACTGGGACCCAGGTCACCTGCAACTGGAACCTCCCATATGGTGGTCTCAGCAAATCAGGCCGTGTATGTGGTGACCCCGGACTCCCCAGGAAGGATCTCCAAGAGCAAGGCAGCTGAAGCTATTCTGCACAAAGCAACACACCATCAGGTAAGCCACATTTTGTTGTGCAGAGCTGGCTCAGTTCCAAGGAGAGACAAGAGAGATCCCACATTTCAATAGGAGGCGTGAAAGAGAAACTACAGCCATCCTTAAGGGACTACAGTTTCTTCTTTCTGTCTTCCCAAATATATACCCGGGACATGGAGGTGGAAAGGGATCTTAATTATATTTTAATAGCTACTATTTTTAGTGCCTCCAGATGGCCTAGCTTACTGTGAAGCAGATTTTCTCAACCTCAACACTGTTGACATCTCGGGCTGGATGTACTTTGTTGTGCAGAGCTAACCCGTGCATTGTAAGATGTGAATTTAGCAGCATCTTTGGCTTTCACAGGCAAGATTCCAGTAACGTATCCCCATTATGACAATTAAATATTTCTCAAGAATTATAAAATGACCTCTAGAGCATAGGTTGCTCCAACTGGAGAACTCCGGCTCTTTGTTAAGCACTAAACACCTGGATACTTTACAGTATAATGTAGCATCTTCAGTAGGGTGTGGTCAGGTGCTGTGATTATTCCCATTTCATAGAAGAGTGAGTGGAGGCTCAGAGTCAAGTGACTTGTCTGTGATCACTCAGGAGGAAAATCCTGTGTCTGAATGCCAGGCCCAGACCCTTTCTAGGATCCCTTAATTTCTATTTTCTCCTTCAAAATGTCCAGGATGCAGATGGCTGACATGCACACAATAACCAGCTCTCCAGAGTCGGAGGCAAAACCTCAGCCACCACCTCCTGCACTGCGGCTGACCCCCGACTGGTTCAACCAGCAGACCCGCTGGATTCTGGAGCTGATTTAGGCCATCTCCAGCACAGAAGGCATTGATCCGCACGAAATTAGCAGGCGCTTCTGTTCCCAGCCCTGCTGTTTGCTTACAGAGGGAATTCAAGCCTCATTTGGATCTGCGCCTGCCTCTGGGCTTCGTGCCAGACCCCTGCACAGGACGCCCTCACACAAGCCATCACCTGGTGTGCAGTCTATTTCGGGACATGGCCTGGGTCACTGCTGCTGCAGGTGCCCTGACAGATGCAGCACACCCTGCATCCACCCTGGACTGGGGACGCCAGAGCTTCTGGTGCAGCTGAAGACATTGCAGCCCCCTTTCTGCCTGCTCTCTGGCTTCCTCCATTCATTCATCTCTGGCCCAGATAAGGAGCCTGTGTGGATTCTTCCCCATCTCCCTCCCTGCCTACCATCACCACCTACTTAAGTGCCTCTTAAATTCACCATGCCTTTGGGGAGTGGATATAAATGGACGATTAGGAAATGATGCCCAGAGCCGGACACAAGGAAAGGATGACCCGGGAAGGAGTGGGTAAAGTGGGTGGCCCAGGAAAGCTTCCTGGAGGAGAAAAGAACAGGAGTGAAAGGACCAGAGTGCAATGTGTCCGGCCACCTAAATGCACTCAGATGATAGAGAGGGAATCTCAGAGGGAAAAGGATTGGGAGCTGTTTATTCCTTGACACTAAAGGGAGGAGCTAGGCTTTAAGGAAAGAATGAAAGGTTGGAATTGTACTTTACAAAGATTAATTTATCACTTCTGAGCTGTGTGATTTGGTGATAGACAAAGCTAAAGGCAAGGGACTGGGGGAGGTTTATTCAGATAATTTACAATTTAGTCATTCAACAAATATTGAATGCCCAACTTGTTGCCAGATTCTCCACTAGACAATGAAATAGGCCTGACTTCATCCCAACACATGTCACTCTCCTGCTGTAGTGGTGCTGACAGATACTAAACAATAGGCATAATTAACCACATAATTAAAGTGCAAGGTTCTAGGGAGGAAGGGTGACTGATCTATGGTAGTGTGGAAAAGAGCACAGCACACTGTGGGGCGGGGGGGCGGGGCGGGGGAGGACAGTTTCTCCCTTCTGGAAGGTAATTTAGTGTCCCAACAATCTGATGAGTCAGGTGACATCAGCCATCATTTTACAGATGCAGAAAGAAAGGCTTAGGACAGGGAGCCAAAGGTCTTGCTTGAGGCAGAGCTGCCCAGTTTGTGAACGGGGAGAAAGCGGGGAAGTGGATTTCACACGGGCTTCCTTCACTCCACCTACTTACAAAGGGATTTGGCCACTGCCTAGAGGACTGGGTCTCTCCCTCCCTCTCTCCCTCCCTTCCTCTTTCCAATCTGCTTTCTCCTTCCTTCCCTCCCCCTCTCTCCAGACTAAACTGGTTTGTTGAACTTTGTGCAGAGAGCCCGCCAGCAGGGTGACCTTGTGGCAGAGATGCAAGCTTGCAGCTCCTTGCATTAGAAAAGCAGAGGGAGGGAGCACAGCCTCCCTGGCAGTGAGCCTCAGCAGGCACAGAGCAGCCTGCACAGAGGGTGGCTCAGTTCTGGCTTCACAGCATGCTGTACACTGGCAATCAAAACTGAGGGCTCCTGCCAGCCCTCAGACCAGTCCTCTGCAGGCCCCTGTCCATGGCACTGCAGGACCTACTGGCCCAGGCAGGTCTTTAAATCCTGCCATGTGTGGCGTTAATCTCTGTTGCCTGGGACAAACATGAGATTGGCTGGCCCCCAAAACAGGGAGGTGACCGTGACTGAGCTGTGAGTGACGAAGGGGCTTGTGCAAGCAGAATGGAGAATGTGAAATAGGAAGCAAGGGGCTAAAGGTGTAGGGAAAGTGGGAGGGGTAGGGGAAGCTAATAAGGGAAAAGGAAAAAACATGAGAAAATGAAAAAATGGAAATGAAGTGTTTGTAAAGGGGGAGGGAGGAGGGGTGAAGGGAGGGCAGGGACAAGGGGAAAAAGTGAGAACCAAGACCACCTGTCATGTAAAGTTACAAGATCCCAATAATGAATGTAACTGCACTGCATACCTAAAATGTACCAATAAACTCAATGAGGAAAAAAATAAAAAATTAAATTAAATTTTAAAATAAAATTAAAAAAAAGAAAGACATCCACCCCACTTGCCCGCAACGGAAGCCCTGGGGCCCCGTGAGCAGGACATGGACTTGGGAACCCCTGATAGACTCCTGAGCCTGGTGCAGCCCTCAGCAGCCAAGTGGCAAGCACCAGCCTGTACCTGGGTGCCCAGTGCCATGGAGGAAGGGAGCAGGAGGTGGGATGATGCCACCACTTCACAACTCCTCTGCATTGAAGGGCTGTGACTGACCTCAGCAACACCGGAAACCAGAGACAGGAGCAGTCTCATCTCACAGAGAGAATCACAAATAATAAAGATGAAGGACTGAGCGCCAGGAGCTTTTATTATGGTAAGTACTATGCCCATTATGCAGATGGAGAACTGGACGCCTGGTAGCCACATGACAAGGACTCTTAGCCATCTGTCCGCTTCCAAGGTCCCTGACTTCAACCACATAAAAACATTGCTTTCCTGGCTTTCCCCTCTTCCCCAGAGGGTGGCTGAAATCCATAGAAAATGAATTCAAGAGGAAAAAAGATTTTAGCCTAACGATTCCTGAACAAATAATTAAAGTTATTACAAAATGATTAATAAATTAATGAATTAATGATTAAAACGATTCCATAAATATTTATCAAGGGCTATTTATATGCTAGTCATTGTTCTTCTAAGGGAGGTTAAACAATAAAAGAATTAGACATGAATTCTTCCTGTCTGCAGTTTATGGTCTAATAAATATGTGAAATCACTCTAGTGGTAGTGGGAGTAACAAATAATAATAATGATGTACTGATGTGTATGACAGATACTGTATTTCAGACAGAATCACCAACATCTTGTATGCATTCTCCCTTTAGCATTTAGAATAATTCTCTGTGATGGGAATTATTACTCCAGTTTCACAGAGAAGATACTAGAGCTCGGACAGTTTGGCCAACAGTAGTTAATTGGTGAGTGGGACAGAACGAAGAAACAAGCCCAGTCCTGCTGACCCACAGAAACCCTCAGACCCACAGTGCATGCTTTCTCCTTGTGACTGTGAAATGCTCTGGCTCTATTGAGAAGCAAAATTCCACCAATCAATGAAGGTAGATAATGATTCCTAATGGAATCCCGGGACTTCTGGTCTGACTTCCATCCCCAATACTCTGGTGCAGGTCATTCTCCCCCACCACTTCCGGCTCCCCTGCAGAAGGCAGTGAGCACCCATCACCTGACCCCGGGCTCACTGCAGCTGTCACTGTGGCCAGTACCTGTGCAGCAGGTGGACTCTTCCCTGTCTTCCGGCAGATGCCAGGGTCTTGCTACTCCAGATAACCCTCAATTAAGGGTATATCCCAAAGCCATTACCAAAGAATAAAATAGCCATGTCATGTCTTTTTGTCTTTTTCTTCCAAGTTGTTCAAAGATATCATTAGAGGTCATATGAAGGATATAATTTGGGGACAATAATGAGGACAAGAAACGTACTGTAGTTAAATAGATACTCCCTCCTCCAAAGCACCGGAAGGAGACAGTCTGAGACAGACAGTAGCACCACTCTCTTGCCTGGAGCATCAGCAGCAGGAGGAAGATCCTTTCTCACTCCACTCAAAGTGTTGGGGTGATCGACAGCCTCCTCCTTCCAGTATGCAAACACGGTCACACCCACCCACCAGGTTCTTCATCTTGAACACACCATACTTCAGTCCACATTCACTCTTTAAAGTTCAGTGTTCAAGCCAATGTCAGTATTAGTAAAGCTTCTCCTAATCCCCACCCCGAGCACTTCTCCCGTCTTCTCCTGCTTCCCTGGGACAGTCACTGGGATGTGTTAGGGTTTACATCTGATGTCTCCCCAAAGCCTCAAGCATGCATAGATGAGGCTTAGGGGAGGTGATCGCACCATAGGGCAGAGAGATGACACTTATCAGTGGATTGGTTCACTGAGGAACTTATAGCTAAGTGTGGTTGGAGGAGCTGGGCCACTGGGGCATGGCCTGGACCTGCCTCTCCCTTTCTTCTCCCTCCAATCCTCTCTGCTCTCTGTTACCCTGCCATGAGCTGTTTCTTCTCTGCTATTGCCCTGCCTTGAAGCCAGCTGACTATGAACTGAAACCTCTACAAACTATTAGCCAAAATATACCTTGTCTCCTTTAACTTGTGGGTGTCGAGTATTGTTTCTCCAGTGCAAAAAAGTAATAAAACAGTCACTACTTACAATAGCTCTCTGCTCAGTAGATAGACAGAAATGTGGACAAGGTTTACCTGAACCTTCTTTGCCAGCCAAATCATTGGTGAGCACCTGAAGCAGCACACAGTCTGAAAGAGTGTAGTTGATGACTCAGAGGGAAAACATTCACAATTTATAGGTTAAGGCTCTGAGCCGAGGGGGCGGGCCCACCGGAGGGTGGCCAGCTGCTGCCAGGTTCCTCTGCTGTGCTGCCGAGATGCCTTTCTAAACATAGATTATTGGCCAGAGTTTTTTAATTACAAGGGCCACTCTGGAAATTTCTTTCACAAAAAGCAGTCATTGCTGGCAGCAAATTTCAGCAACACCGAATGGGTCACCAAACTTGCTTACTTGTGTGATATATTCAACCTGCTCAACAAACCCAATCTTCCCCATTCAGGGGAGCAGGGGCACTGTGTTCAAGTCAGCAGACAAAGTGTTTGCATTCAAAGGTCAACTGGAATTATGGGGCCAATGAGTGAGCATCAGGATTTCTGATATGTTTCAAACATTAGCAGATAATTTTAAAGAAATTAAATCAGAGCCTTCTCTCTCCCAGTTGGTGCATGATCACCTATCTCAGTTTTCAAAACAGTCTTACTTCCCAACCACAAAAGACACCTGAACTGAGAAGGAACAGATCCACAACCCACCTGTGAATAAGCATGGTAAATCGACTTCGTGCTGGAGGATCAACTGCTTGAAATCACAAAGGATAATGCCCTTAAAAATATGTTTGAGACAACTTTAAATCTCCAAATATTCTGGAAGGCCAAGGTAGAATATCCTGAGATTGTTACAAAAATCACTGAAAAGCCTACTTCTATTTCTAATATCCTACCTTTGCAAGATAGGGTTTTCTATACCAACAGGAAAAAAAAAAAAAGATTAGGGAGTAGATTGGACATAACCTCCACATTTGAGGTGTCACTGGCTCACATCATCCTCAGACAACAATGTTTAATTGCCAGAAAACAAGCCCGGGGCCTCCACTGATTCTGCATTATGATTATTTCATTATATACTACAATGTAATAATAATGAAGGACACGATAAGTACAATGTATTTGAATCAAGCTGAAACTATTCCTTCTCCCCCAGTGCACAGAAAAATTGTCTTCTACAAAAATGGGTCTCATGCCAAAAAGGTAAGGACTGCTGCCTCACAGGACAGTGGTTGCCCTGCTCATCTATCTAAGCTATGCCTTCCCTTCTCTTGGACCAAGAACTAGGATCATCTGCATGGCCCAACTGGCGAAATTCAGAGCTGCTAAGGGATGAGAAGGATTATACAATGAAAGCTCTGCTGGAGCTGGCAGAGGTATGCAAACAACTTGCCTGCAAATTGAGAGTACTGAGTCAGGGGGAAGGAGAGTACAAAGCTGGAGAATGGTAAATAAAGGACAGTGGCAACCAATTTAAATGGGTGATCAGGAAAGGATTCTTGGAGGATGTGGAATTTAAGCTGAGACTCAAAAGGAAAAGAAAGACACTGCACCACAATGAACTGGACCAAGAGTTGTAGGATGAAGTAAGTGCAGAACTCCTGCTGTGGCAACAGTGCTGTGTCTGCAAGGAAGCAAGAGAAGGTCCACACAAGCTAGGGAAAACGGTAGAGGTTGAGAGGAGATTAGGGAAGTCCAGGGTCAGCAGAAGGTCAGGTTAGACCAGGCTAGACCTTGCAAGTCGGCACTGGTGAAGTGTTTTCCTATTCTAAATACACAAAGAAGACTGCTACAGTATGGTTATGGGTTTTCCCCCTCTCGATTTTATGTTCAAATCCACTTCTCAGTGTAATAGTGTTGAGAGCTGCAAGAATCTTTAAGAGAGTGTTTGGTTTAAGAGGTGTTTGGGTTGTGAGGGTGCTGCTTTTGTGAAGAGATTAGGCCACACTTATGGGACTGGGCACTTAAAAAAATGAGCCTTCATTCCGTAGGACTGGGTTAGTTACCTCCAGAGCTAGTTGTTAGGCACCCCACCCTGGCTTTTTTATTTTCTCCTCTGCGCATTCGACTGTGTGGCCTTCCACTTTCCTGCTATGTTAGGATGAGTAATTTATGAAGAAGAGATATTTATTTGGTTCTACAGGACTTTCTGGCCTCCACAATCAAATAAATATCTCTTCTTCATAAATTACTCAATCTCAGGAAATCAGTTATAGCAGTAGAACACAAATCAAGATAAAATGCGTCAGAGGTGTTTAAAGGAAAGGAACATTATTGATATTTCTCAGAGGTTATTCTGACTTCCAAATGGGATGTCACAATGTATGGTACAGTGGTGTCTGACGACAGTGTCATGAATGAATGAATGCTGAATGAATGCTAGGTTAGGCTAACCTGGGGCTTCCAAAAAAGCTTGCAAAAAATTGCTGTGTGTAGTCCCATGTTTGGCATCATTTTCATTTTTGGCCACCATTCTTCATTTCTGTGAAGAGAAAGCAGCCTTCCGATTGGGGGGAGGAGTGGGGGAAGTCAGTTCTGCTTCTACCAGACAGAAGAAAAGAGAAGGGGAAAATAATTCTGATGAGGAATTCCACCCCCTTTTCAGGAAGCTGGCAAGAGGCCGCACTTGCAGTCTTGACTTTAAACCTGGAAACCTCAGCTTCCCCAGGGAAGCCAGGAGGGGTGGGCTCTTGGCACAGGGAACTCCTGAATAGCACACATATCCGCTTTTCCTCACCAATCTCCTGCTTTATTAGCTGAGCTGCTCTGAAGCCCAGACTAGTGTATTTCATGCTGAGTTTAGGGTGAAAGTGATCTGGCAGGTTACATTCCCAGGGTGTCCCGGAAAAGAGACTGCGGCGGGGGGGCTGTTGAATGAAAGCCAGGCTGGACCTATTCCTAAACCAACAGGAATCAGCTGCTTTGACAGTGGGGTCTGTTAACAGATGGGAAACCCTTCAAGGGGAAGAGAGGCTCGAAGAACTACAAAGGTGCTGAGCATTCCAGAAAGATCTCATTCCAGCATAGCATTTTCCCCAATACCCTCTGCCCCCTGTGAGTGCCAGTAAAAGGACACAAGTGCTCCTCCAGTACACATTCTTTGTAAAATGTAAAAACAATAAAATGAAATGGATTTTTAGGCTAGAAGGAAACTTAATGATCAAACAGTCCCACTTCTCATGCAAGGGATACTGAGCATGTAGAGTGAGTACATCTAAGCCTGTAGAGTGACTTCCCAAACCTACCAAGCTATAAAAGAACCCAACAGAAAGATAAAGGGATACAAGTTCATCTTTGTTTTCATGCACTATTTCTTACACCTGCTCTTATTCTTGAATCTATTTGTCCCCTTTCCATTTTCTTGCAAGGATCAATCCGTTCTTTACCTTTCCCCCATCCACTTCTGCCAAAAACAAAGAACAAAAACACAGATTCAAGGTTAAAGAAACTTGCAAGTAATGTCTTTACCTGTGTTCTCCATCAAGAGCAGTGATGTGGGAACACATGGGTGCTGAATATAAGTCAGGTAAAGGAAATTAGGAGATGCCTTGCCTCCCTGCATCCATGGGGACCCAGGAGAGGGGAAGGAGACGTGGTGGAACCAGCCTGAAGTTACAGCTGAGACCCATCTGGTCTGGCCACACACAGGACACACCCCCTTAGGAATGTTCCGGAATGAGGGGCATCACTAGTGGACTCCTCATTAAGAAGTCAGCAAGTAGGGTGAGGGTCAGGATATGTGAAGAAAATGCATTTTAGGTTCCCCCTGTCATTGTACCTGAGCATTGGGCCCAACGTATTAAGCAAGGTGATATTTAGATAAAAGTGCAAAAAACAGTGATTTCTCCATAAGATGTGGGCACTTGGGTCACATAAAAGTCATCCCTCTGAAGCAGCCCGGTGGCTGGCGATGTGGGTATTGTGTGAAATGCAAATTCAGGTTTTGTGGAAACTGTAAGTTCATTCATCTAAATTGTTTCTGCTATAGTCTATGACAGCTTCTGAAAATTGGCAGTGTAAGATTTTTATTTGATCTTTCAACATTATTGGAGGTCATATAAACAGGATTATATGAAGTCTTTCACCGTCAATTAGTGTAATTCTAAATCAACATTCTGTCAGAGGTGCACTTGTTTTACAGGGTAAGGAGGAAGAGAAGGAGAGCTGCTGGATTTGCCTGGCTTTGGGTTAGTGCTCAAATAAAGGGAAAGTGAAGGAAGGAAGAGAAAGAGGTGAAGAAGGCAGGATTGGAGGGGAGAAATGAAAGAAAGAAAACAATGGAGAGTAAGAGGAAGGGGAAGAAGGAGAGAAAAGAGCAACCTAATTTATTTTAGGATGCACAGAAAATCATTCCTCATATTCAACCTAAGAAACAAAAACTTGAAGTTATTAAAAGGTTAAAAACATTAATTTTCTGTGAAAATTGGATGCCTTTGTGGTATTCTAAATTTATACTAAAATATGACTTTCTCTGGACCTGATATGCAGCAGACTTATTTCTAGCTGATAGATCTGTCACTAGGCACCCTTTTTTAAAGTGGACATGAAAAGCATCAAATTTGATAAAAGTGTAGAATACTGGACTTACCGTTAAGTGTAATTTGCTTGGCTTCCATTTGCCTTCAAGGATCTCTGAGTACTTGAGGGATGATCCTTTCCATAAGTCTCCATAAACATGAGAAAGAACTCCCTTCATTGGCAAGTCCTTATAAATACTAGATTAAATTTTCATCTCCCCTTTTACAACTCCACAGGAAACCCGCAGGGATGGATAAGAAAGTTTTAATGTCGAGCAAATTATCAAATTTACCACTACAATATCCTTGTAAAAATATGCTATGTTTCAAGCTAATTAAAGCTGGGAAGAGTCAATAGATGAAATAAAACAATCCAGTGAAAGTACTTTCCTGCTACAGCAATCTATGATCTACTGGACTAGCTTATTTCAGGCACTCAAATTCTGAACTCCAGAACCTACTCAGCTAGAGCAGAATCAGCTGTTACAGTGTGACTCCCTGGGGTGGAATCCCAGTTCTGCCTCTCACTGTTTGCCTGATCTCGATGTCTTCATTTGTAAAGCAGCATCTCAGCATCATGCTGAGAACTGAGTTTCATAAATGTATCAACAGTGAGCACACATTGCCTGACAAGTGACCATTATTTCTACATCATCTTCATCTAATACAAGAGTCTCAATATAAACCCCATGGCCAATCTTGGTGAGACTCATTTGAATCCATCCTCAAAATCTCAGCCAGATGAATTTTCTAGGTAATAAACCTGATCACATCAGCCATATGGCTTCAAATTGTTGAATGTTGTGCCACTGTCCAAAGAATAGCTGATATCCATCAAGCTGAAGGAGGCAGACCATGCCTTCCACAATCAAACCCTTTTCTCCTCACCAGCATCTCCAGTCTCCACCACACCCCCTACTTTCTGTTCATTCTGTGAACTTCCAGGAAACAGGAACATTTGATAATTCTAGACACTTGCATCCCTTGACTTACATTTTTCTGTCTGTACTTCTTTCTTCCTAGAATATTTCTTTCCATTCTTATCTTCAAAAATGAGGCAAAAAAAAATGGTTTCTCTACATAAAGTAAAAAATCCCAGCCTCACTGATGCATAGAGAAATGAAAATTAATCTGCTCCAGTGATGTTCAAAGAGGAGCAGGTGCCAACTTCCTCACCACAGAGAGGATCCATTATGAATTTGTCAGTCCTGCTGCTCTGCGGGCTCCCATGGTGACCTATTTGCTCACACTGTTAATGTTGTCATAATCTAAGCACTCCCAAAGTCAGCCTGGACAGCTTACAACACATCTTAAAAAGCATCTGCAGCACAGATTGAGCCAACACTTTAAAGATATTAGAAAGTGATCAACATATGATTTTGCTTAAGTAGTTATATGACTGCCATTAAAGTTGAAGATAATTCCTCTATGGCCTCACTAAACTGCACTTGTACCCACAGCCAATGAAATAGCCCTTTCTCTACAAGCTTTGGTAAGTGGGAAACAGAACAGGACAGAGCTGAAATGCGTTGACAGTTGCTCATCAGGATTGCAGTGAGATTGGGGATAGATACCACAGATGGTCTTTAAAGAATCCGTGGGAACTTACACCCACCATAGCCAGCCACCTCGTCTTCTTATGAAGTCCCTCAGACACTTGTACCCAAGAGAAAATGGCAGATGAGAAACGAAGTGGTGCTTCATTATAATTAGGTTGGCTTTTGCCTAAAACCCCAATTATCTGTTCTTTGGTTATTTGGACTGAGACATGCCTTGGAGTAGATAGTTCACAAGGGCCTAAGGTGCTTTGTCTACCTTTATCTACCTTGGCACAAATCTGTTGTTGTTTGGGAGGCTCGATGTCAAAAGAATTTAAGAGATTATCACACTAGCTCCTGTGCCTGAGAATAGGGCAAGAGTGATATGTGGGGCTCATCCAGTGCTGTACAGAAGGATATCTTCACTCTGATTACAGCTTTAGCCGTAGCTACGATGAGGCACAGGACTACAGCTATGCCCTGCTCTAGTACCTCTGTCTTGTCCATCCTCCCAGGATCTGATTTCTCCTATACTTTCCAACATATTTTGTTTATGATCTACTCTGGGTTCAGTGCTCTGGCTTTGAAGCCATGGATGAAGTTGGTTTGAAGCTCCTAGCTCAGTATATCTTTCAAGTGACGTATTAGGAAGACACACCATGATTGTTCCTGCTCTAATGCAATATCGTATGACCGTAAGTAAGCATTATCTTCTATAAAGCAAGAGTGATGTCCACTACTTCTCCCAATAGCAGGACCAATTCTTTTGGGGCACAATTTTGCTTTCATAATCTCCACACTTCTGTCCCTAGGCAGATACAGGAACCTGGGTAAAACAGAGCGCTGACTCATCAAACATCTGTTCCCAGGACTAGAATGAAGGCCCCTCACAGTCATACTTCAGAAAGGTTAATACTTTAATAATTAGGAAACTTTCCCAATCTGCTCTCTAGCAAAATCTAATGAGTATCTAAATAGTCAAACATAAGGAACAAGTATTGCTCCTGTGAACTTAATGAGATTCTCAGCATTTTCTACTTCTCTTCAAATAAATCATATTTTAAAAGTATCAAGAAGAATTTTTTTTTAATTTTACAAAGTTTTAACTTCGTTTTATTTTGGTCCTGGGAATCCAACGCAGAACCTTACACTTGCAAGGCAGGCGGGGCACCACTGAGCTAAATCCCTGGCTTAACTTCCTTGTTGAGTAAAGCTAGGATAGCAGTACAATTGATAACATCCAAAACACACAAAAAAGCTTCCCAAAACTGAGACTGGCAGAGGCAAACAGGAGGAAGAGACGGGAAGAAACGACCAGAGGGTCCGGCAGCATCGAGCCTCGGTCAGCATGAGCAAAGATACACGTCCTGAACTGGAGCTCGGGACCTGAAGTGCAAGAGCTGTCACCCTCCTTCACAGGGAGCAGAAGAACCAACTGAGCCAGCTGGACAGAAAAGCAGAGATCATGCCAACCACAGACAGTCAGAGAGCCTCCGGTGTACAGGCTCTTTCGGGCTCTTCTCTCACTCATAAGAATTCCTGAATAAAGCTGGCCTGATAAAAGGTACGTTTTTAAGCGATGAGTAATAAATCAGGAACAAGAAGATAATTCAAAAATACCATTAACACACAAGCGAAAGAGAAGCAAAAGTACCATGAGATGAGGATGACTCATCAGAAGTAAGTCGTAAATATGCCAGCAATCAAAATGTATTAATAAAGCCATTACCACAGATAGAAATGTAACAGCTCAGGAAAGATGTCACTGAACAGCAGAAGGAACTTAACAGTAAACCAACACAGCTATGCAAAGCCACCTTAACTGTGGAGGGGGCCTTTGAAGGAAAACAAGGGAATTGCTACAAAAGAAAATATAAGAAGAAAAATCTTAAAGGATAAAAATAACAAAAGCAATAAAGAAGTGAAGGAAAGAAATAGGGAAGAGAGACATGTAGTGAAAGGAAAAGGAAGAAATGAAGGAAGAGAGGAAAGAACAGAGGGATGGAAGAAAGCAATGATACAGCAAGGGAAGAAAGGAGGGAAGAAGAGAAAGAAACGTAGAAAAACGTACAGCATTAGAAAGTGAAAGAGTCAGCATTTATATATAATGTTTGTGCATAAAGAAACTGAGTCATAAATTGTGAGGAGAGATTTTTCACTATATGGCATTTTACATAAGTTTTAAACAATTTAATAACAAGAATTATGGCCATATATAAGCAAATAAAAGAAAATAAGATAAATAGAAGCAAGCACAATAGGAAGGAGGGAAAAGTGATGGGCTTGATTAAATTATTCATGCAATCAAATATATCAGCAAATACTTACTAAATACCTATTTTATCCCGGGCACTGTTCTAGGTACTATTTATGTACAAAGGAAAACAGCCTAAACCTCTGCCCCTATGAGCTCTCTTTCTAAAGAAGAAAGATGTAATAGTAAATAAATTAAAAAAAGGAAAGATGAGCAACAAACAAGATGTATACTGCATCGAATGATAACAGAAAAGCATCTGTGGGAAATACCTAGTAATGAATAGAGGACATCCAGGGTTAGAGGAATCGCTAGTCCGGGAAGGATAGTCCGGAAGGGTTCTCAGGGACACGAGTAGAGGCGTGGGGATGTGAGCGAGGAGGCATGCTAGTACTCCAGGCAGGAGTGGTAAGCAAGAGAAGCCTAATGTAGAAACTCTTGTCTTTTGAGAAAGCCTGTGGAACACAGAATTCCCAGAGAGCAGAGACAGAGGTGAAGGAGAAAAGCATAGAGAGGTAAGGGGAGCCGGCTTAATTAGGGCTTTGAATATAATTTTAAGGACTTTCATTGTGAGTGAGATGAGAAGAGGTAAGAGAGTTTTAAGCCAATAAATGATGTGATCTGATTCCTATTTTATTTTAAAAGTATCACTTGCGGTGCTATTCAAAGGTTGCTGCCAGTTAAAGCTAAAGCCAAAAGAGCTGACCCTCTTTTTATTAATATAACCACAAAGAACAGGGGCCTGTAACCTTGCCAAATGTTCCTACAGGGCTGGAAGATTACAGGACCAGTCCCTGTGAATCCTGCCCCTCTTCTCCCGCCTACCTCTGGTTGTCAACACCAAGGGAGTCAGGACTAGAAAGAACTTGTCCTTGGCAAGTACAATAATCATGCAGAGGTTATATGTTACCTTTTCTCAGAGCCGGGGAGAAGGACTTCCAAAGTATTGCACCAAAGACTGGGAGGGGTATTTTCAAGAATCTTTCATTTTCCAATTTGTTATGTAACTTGAGGCTTCTAGACCTGAAAACAATAACTGATCACTGGAAAGACATGGCAGGGTGCGGAAGCCTCGAACTGAGAAGAAATGATGTAGTGTGGACGCCATCTGCCTGAAGGGCTGGTGCATGAGAACTTTACACGTCCAGACTGAACCAGAGATGGAGGGCGAAGCCAAGAATGCCTGAGGACTCGGGGTTAGCCATGCCAGGTGAAGAGCATGGGGTTCACATGGAGCTGGGAGCTTGTCGGAGCCTCTGAGCATGGGAGTGAGGACAGACACACTCAGGAGACAATCAAGGCCTTTTCTTGGCTTTGACTACGGGGCACCAAACCTCCTAAGGGTGACAGCGAACTTCATCTGCAGTTTTAGAACGCAAAGGAAAGATGCAGCTGCGTTTAATAAAAAGACAACACTTGTGCTTTCTGTCTTCATCTATCACCTGGCCATTCAACACTGGAGGATACTACTTCCTGCCCACGGGTGTGCTATTTGCATAACACTGTGATTGCAATGATTTTGCATTGTGTAGAGGCAAACTTTTTTTTAAACTCCATTGTGCATGTAATAGGCAAAAGAGCCCCCAAAAAATGAGGAGGTAAGAAAACGGATAAAATGTGGAAATTTGTGATGTGATTCATTGCACTTATTTTACATACCACAAAGTCTAGGGAAAGAATATGACCTTCACAAGGTTATGTGGCTAGTTAGTAGGAAGCTAAATATAGAACACAGGGCTCCCTTTGCTCCGTTTGTTGCAGGATCTTGCAAGGCGGATCACAGAAGCAGGCAGCAGGCTAAGCACATGACATGAGGGCGTGGGCAAATTTATGCTCACAGCTCCCTGTACCATCTCCAAAAATAAATGGATGCACATGTAGGAAACACAGAGCCATGAACCGAAGCTCTAGTGCACTCACTCCACTGTGTTATGGTGATAATTTATAATGCTACTGCAATTACAGTAGAATTATAGTATGCCCAGCACCTAATAGAGCTGTGTGCATACTCTTGAGAAAGACGGATGTGCTAGCATCTTGGGCTGCAGAAATGAAATTAGATGGCTCCCATCCCTGATCCTGCCATTGATTTTTGTAGTCCACCCATTAACCTGATACCTTGCATACCATTCCTCGGAGGTGAAGACATGGTTTTAGAGTGTAAATAATTAGACCCTCGAAATCCAAAGTGACAAATCTTCCCTGTCTCCCATTGCCATGAATCAGAACATATAAATCAAAGCCTCTTTTGAGGACATATTTGTCAGCAGGAAAACATGTTTACAGAATGAACTTGCTTTGTGTTTTTCTTTCTTCCTCTTCCCTCCCTTTGGCATCTGTGCATACCTGGCCTTGAAAGTGAACCTCATAGGATAGGGTGACATTATATATCAGGATGTTTTAT